TATATATATATTTATTTATATGTGTTTGTATATACAAAAAATAGGGAGTACTCACCTGGCTAGTGAAAAACAATGAGGCTGTCATCTTAACTTGTCTGAGTAATCTTGAAAGTTTCTTTAGTTTTTAATTACCCTGGAAAGGTAGCATGCACAGACCTGGCTTACATAATTGAAAAATAAGTATTGACTCTGGGTGCAGGCTGCAGAAATGAGGGAGATGTGCACAGTGAACTCTGAAACTCTCCCACTTTGCAGGGAGATGAGCTGTGGTTTATGCACAAACATTGCTCAGGAGGCCAGTTAAATACTGGGACTTGGGATTTCCTTGTTGTTTTCATCCATGAAGAATAGATTGACAGCAGCCTAGTTCTAACCAGGCCATCTGCTTACAAACATGTTGCTGCGTCTGGCTTTTCATCTGTTTTAGGTGCTAAGCACTGTAATAGAAGCCAAACTTACAGTTCCAGATTAATTGCTGACCTTCAGTAAAGTCAGTATTCAAGTTCAATTTGATGTTGACTTTCTGCAAAGATGTGAATGTGTAATTTGATCATGACAATATGAGGATTGTACTGTCTCCTCACTCAACCCTTCTGATATTTGACAACTTGATTTGAAGTGTCTGAAGAACATTAATATTGATCTCTCCTTAAGGGTGTTTCTTTCACTCACTAGTTGTCCTTCTTCACAGGCACTTACCAGCCCAAGCAAGAAACCTCCTGAGACTAATGAAAACTGATCCTGTAAGTTGTCTGGAACTCCTTTAATCTTATAGCATGAAAAGAAACAGGTGTTGCATCATGTGATAGAACCACCTGCAATGGTTCCATGTGGGTATCACAAAGTCAAAGAAATTCAGGCTCGTTATTTTCTTCTTTATTGCACAGAGAATTGACTTCAGTGCTGACTGGAAGCTCATAATAGTGCATATTGGAGGCAACGATCTGTGCAACTATTGCAAAGACCCTGTGAGTAGCAGAACTGGTTATCTGAAACTGTACTGGGACTGTGATGTCGGTGTAGAAACACGTCAATGGAAATCTGTGGATCCTTACAGCCTTCACAGAAATAGCACGAGTTGTATGTGCTGCAGTGTGTTTTGATGGTGGTTGCTGCTGACAGTGCCCTGATAAAAAACAGTTACTAGCAACAGAGTAGGTTGGTTGTACTCTCTCTGGCTTACTCCAGGGTAAGAATTGCTGTCTTTGCTACTGTCTTTTGACCATGAGCAAGAAGTGGAACAGAAGAAAAGCTTCACTCCTCTGATGTAGTAACTGCTCTACCACTAGCGTGGTCTCTTTAGACATCCAAGAAAGCATTACACTGCTTTGAACTACCACTAGTCCAATCCTGTAATTGTCATCACCCCATAACTCAAAGTGCAGGGACGTGCTAGGAACAGGTGAGGTACGTATCAGCAAAGCTACTGCAGTGCTCAATATCATTTGAATTTTATGCTTCTCTGGATTGTGGAGAGGCCTTTAGGGCTGCCATAAGGAGATCATCGGAGCTGAGTGGGCAGGTGGCAGGGAGAGGCCACCTTTCTCTGCCAGCTCTTACTCTCTTGCCTTTCATGTACTAACTTATAAGCATTTTCAATTCTCTCGCAGGCCCTTGTGTTTGAGAGATTTGCTGCTTCTGCAGGAGTCTCACTAGGCATCTTTGCTTCTGCTGCCACCCAGTTTTATAGCTTTATTTATAGCTATGACCTTGGCTAGCAATGATTTCGCCTAATTTTATGAGGGCTTATCAGCTGGCTGTGAGCACACCTATGGCTGTTTGGTTCATGCTGTTCAGCATGCATTCAGATTGGGGTCCTTCCTGTGTCTTTACATGAAGGACCCAGTGGATTTGGGTTAAATATACTGCTACTCAACAAGGTTTATTTTAAATCCAAAATTTCACTGAGTCTTTCTACATTTTAGATTAATTGATATGGTTAAAGTCCCTGGTCTCTAGAAAGAAGCAAGAACATTCTATTGACCACAGTGTGGTATGGCAGAAAAGGAAGTGAATTAATGTGATTCTCCAGCCTCCCGATCAAAATGCCTTGCATCTGCATTTACCAGTAATCTCGTATCTTCTGTTTCTATCAGGATCACTACTCAGCTGTGAATTTCATCAGCAGGATTCAAGAAACTCTTGATATTCTGCACAAGCAGGCAAGTGCTGTGAAATTGTCCTGGCATTCTAGCTTGTGCTTGTACATGACTGACTGGTGCTAGCTCTTCTGTGTGATTGATTTTGGTTGGGTTTTTGTTTCCCCTTCTGGTACCAAACATATTCCACTGACTTCTCCAAAAGCATTTCCTATTGTCTTGTCTATCTGAGAGTAGTGGGGTGCAGTCTGAAATGACAGACAGTAACACTGGACCAACACTGTTGGAAAAGAATCAAAAGCTGAGGTGAGTTTGGCAGGGGTTTTTGTTGCTTTTTTTAAATTTTATTTTCCTCTTCTAACAGTGGAGAAAGGGAAGAGCTGTCAAATGGTTGGCCTTTGGGACTTTGGGGTAAAGTAAATGCAGTGTGGGTTGTGTAACTAGCTCTTTGTAAGCTAAAGTCTGACTTACCTTTCAGGTTCCGAAAGCTCTAGTGAGTCTGGTTGAAGTGATGGACCTCCTCCCTCTGAGACAGTTGTTTGTGGATACTCGAGTTCAGTGTCCCACTTACATGGCAGAGTATGGCTTGTTTGACTTCCTTTTATACCTGAGCTTACTGTCCATGACGATAAAGCATGTTCTTATTCCATGCTTCTCTCATCATTTCAACTGATACTCAAAGGTAGCACTGCAGTCCTGCATTCATCCCATGCAGTGCTAACATCAGTCTACCTGATGGCATTACCTTCTCTTGGCCTTGACCTAAGTGTTGTCAGAGGACCTATTTGTTTTGTCCATGTCTAGAAGTGTAAGGTTTCCTGTGACACATAATGTACACCTCAATGAGCTTGGGTCAAATTTATTGCTATGGGGTTCTTCAAGGTGTGGTTGAAGTCCACAAGCATTTGGATTTTCAGGCCTTTTGAGGGAATGTGAAGTATTTTCAGAGTAGACAGATTTCTCCCGTTTCAGAGGCTTTATTGCAATGGATAGTTTTCATTCTTTGCTGACCCCACAGATAAGGACAAATTCTGTGTCTCAGAAATGCAAAAGGAATTGTTGATTGGAAAGGTATCAGCTCTGAGGTAATGCAGTCAGTACACTTTGAAGATCTGTTTGGTGGTTCCAGAGGGACTGGCATGCACCTCTGTCAGGCTGCAGGGCCTCTGGATGGCAGGGTGTAATGAATGGAACAAACTATCATAGTGCAGCAGACATTATATACCTGGGGGGCAAACAAAACTGATTTAGAGTAGTATCATTCGTGTGAGGCAGAAAATAAGACTGAAGGTTGAAATGATGAATGAGAGCAAGGACAATAAAACATTTTCACAGAAACACGACTGTACAGGTTTTGTTGTTTCTCCCATGTCATGAGGGCATTGGGTGGCAAAGGGTGGCTTGTGCATTCTCAGATCTCTAACCCTCTCTATTCCTGTTTTCTTCTCTAACTTCTCCCACAGTTATCTGTGTAGTTGTGTTCTCACAGGAGAAGAAAACTCACCAAATTTAACAATGGTGAGGGAAGCCACCAGAGCTTACCAGGTATGTTTTTCCAAGAGTGATGCAGTTACTTTATTTCCAGTTGAGGTGAGCTTGATTACCAAGCAACAGTACTTTACACAAATGGGCCTGATAAGCTAAGCAGGAGGTAATTTGATGCTATCCAAAACACCATATGACCAGAACCAGCAACAAATGGTTTCCTAGTACAGACAGGTAGGTGGGAGTTTAGTCACTAAAATCCTGTCCCCCACAGTCAGTTGTAGCATTGTGTTCCAGCCTTCTCAGCCACTTTGCAAGGCTCACCTTTTGCCAACATTTGTGGCTATTTCAGTTAAGAAGTAAAAGCATCCTTCTGATTCTTGGGCTTTCAAAAAAAAAAAAAAAGTTATCATGCAGAGATGTTGATGGATTATTGATGGTCAGGTTTTTGTTTCTTGCAGCTTGGCATTCAGAGACTAGTGGAGTCTGGCAGATATGATACTCATGAAAATTTCACAGTGATCATACAGCCTTTCTTGCAAAATATCAAGATTCCTCTTGCTCAGGTATGGTCTAAAGAGACTTCTGCATGTGAAGGACTAAGTGTGGGTGTCTAACCTTTAGACACTATATGCAAAATAGTTTCAGCTTGTTCTGTGATTTTCTTATTAGAACTTGTTGCCTTTTGGTAGAGTACATCAGATTTCTTTGTATAGTTAGGAGTTCTTTGTTTTACATATTGTGCTGTCAATATGAATTACTGTTCTGGAAAATGAATCAAAACCTGAATTAAGAGGTTTGGTTTTTTATGTTCTCAAGGGTACATAAATATTTTTCTTTCTGAAAATATAACATGATTAATAAATGACAGAGATATTAAGTTACAGTTCTTAAAGCAACATAGCTGCATTGCTCACTGGAGACTACAGCATCACCTCCTCTTCATGTCCTATAACTTGTTCTTCTGCATCTGACAGAAAGAGAAGTTTACATATGATCTGGTGGAAGTACTAGTTTTATTTAGTGAGTTCTTTTTTCCTGTTATTGGCAATTATATTTCAGTACTTGAATGGTAAGTCTCAGTAAACTATAAATCTAGGAGATGAGTCAAATCCTCTCTGAAACTGAAACTCCATTTACTAATTTTCACACACATCTGCACTTCCTCATCTAACCTGGAACTAAGAGCAGATGGGGCAAAGTATTGAGCAGGGATTGCTCTGGTATGATTGAACTGGAGTGATCCTGGAAAAGTTGGCAATAGCTGGTGACAAGTTTGGAAAGTTCAGATGCTGCTACAGACACATTTGGAAAACTGGCTGAAAGCTTACCAGGAGAACCAGGCTTTTTTTATTATTATTATTATTTTTATTTTTTTTCTTTAAGGCCAGGGGGTTTGTTTTGTGCTTTGGTTTGGTTTGGTTTTTAGGGTGTTTGTTTGTAAAGCTGGTTCCTGTTAAAAGTCAAACACTTTTAATCTTTTTTATGGTATCAGATATGTTTATTATTTATATTTATAACACATAATTTCTGTATGTAAAACCTGCTTCAAGATAGGGTTATTTTAAGGTTTTGATGTAAGTATTGACTGTAGTTTTTAATTACATTGTGTCTCTGTGATCCTAGGTCGGTGTAGCTTCCAAGTTATATTATAGTAAATAGTGGCCTTCCAGTACGTGAAGGGGCCTACAAGATTTTGGTACTGAGGTGGGGAACACAGAAATAAAAACAAAACCAGCAAAATATTTCTGAACTTTTTATAGCCTTACAAGCATAACTTCAGATTTTAAGAAAGTTCAAGATGCTGTTTTTTCTTCTTACCTCACACAACATTCAGATGTTCCTGAACTGAAAACTGTGCCTCTAAACTTGGCAAAAGATCAGATATAGATGCAAATTTTGGTAGTAGTCCTCTAATAAGCTAGCCCAAACTCACTGAATCAAAACCTGCTCAAATTTTGAGGAAGGACTGCTCTCACCAAAAAAATGTTGTTTCAGTCATCTGTGACCTAAATTCTTTCTCATCTCAATACTCCCAAGAGAGCCAAGACATTTAAATTTCCAAACTCCACCTCCTTCAGGTGCTCCAGTATCTGTATTAAAGTACAGCTTTGCTCAGAAAGGAGACTGTAGTGGTGTACTCGGTCAGCCTGGCTGCCTTTGCTCGAACACTCGCTTGCTTCTGGCTCCTTTCAAACTTTCAGAACTGACACAGCTGTGGAAAAGCAGATGAGGTCTCTTCCTTCTGGTAAAGCATCCGTAACATGCTTGTTACCCTGTAAAGGTACTGCAGAGCATAGTGGTGCCTACAGTGCCAGTTCTGATGACATGCTGAGGAGAGGAAGCCATCTTTGTTGCAGAACCTGAAGAGAAGCTAGACACAATTGAAAATGGTGGTTTTGCTACTTTTGCATGGATCTTCCCTTGGATGCACATAAGCATCTCTAGTTAAGCATTTCTGGTAGCTCATGGACCTTCTGAAGTACACTTGGTATCACCAGGTAATCGTGAGGCTTTCTACATTGAAGCAGCAAGAACAAGTAGCACAAACCTTCCATTACTGGCTCTGATTTGGCCTCAGCAACCCCAAGTTGGAGCTGTGTGGCTTCTTCTGCACTCAGATGTCTTTTATGCTTTCATTTGTAGGATGGGCATCCAGATGTCTCCTACTTCGCACCTGACTGCCTCCATCCAAGCCAGAAAGGCCATTCTCAGCTTGCCAAGGCTCTCTGGAATGCTGTGGTAAGATGACGGGCTCTGCATATAATATGGTCTTTACCTAGACCTGATCAGAGATCAAAATAATCTCTGTAATAAACACTGCAATGAAGGCCTGGATAGTTCTGGACCTTGTGTTTGTTTCTTCTTCACTAGTCAGATACCCTCAAATTTCTGGCAGTGCTCTCAGCCTAGAATTTCTTGCTGCTTAAAATGTGCGGGGAGGAGAGGAGTGCTGTAAGTGCATGATCAGTGTCATTTGTGATTTCAACTGAGCAACTTCAGGTCTGCTTCACCCATGGTCATGAAAGGCAGGACAGTATTCAGTAAGGATGATGTTTCTATGAGCTGATATCAAATCACCAAATAAAGAATTGCAACTGCATATGTCAATTTAAAATGGATTACTTAAAAGTTTGTTTTAAATCCACGTGTTGTGAATGTCTCGTTATGAATTAAAGTGGATTTAATTCAGTTTAGTTTTACTAACTTCGGAAATTTGTAAAGCTCAATAAAAATATGTAATTAAAGACTGCTTAAGCAAGCCCATTTTACTTAGCATTACAGTGCAGTAGGAGTACACATGCAGTCAGAGGCAGTATCTCAGGTCCTGGATGATAACTTCTATATACTTTGGGGTAATGTTTTAACAGCTGACATGATCACTTGCAGTCACCAAGCAGTAGCTCTAATTAAACTTGTTTTAATCTTCTGCACATAAACAGCCTGGTTTTTGAGATGCCATCATGCAGCTTAGCTATAAAAATTGAGGGACTCATAGTGTCCTGTCCTTTATGCGAGAGAAGAGTTTACAATCTTGCCTTCTGGCAAAATTCCAAGGTACTTCGTGTGCCTGCCAAAATCCTCCAGGAGTTTAAACTGATCCAGTGTAGATTTCCATTTCCCATTTTAAGCTTCTTTCTAAAAGAGTTGCTGTTTTGTTAGGCAGTTGCCATGTTCTTTTTGATAAGTAGATGCATTTCAACCTTGGGAAAATCAAGGTCTGTAAATACAGGCAGCTTTATATAAATATGAAGGGTATGTTTGGATTCTTTTGGATTAGAATTGTTATACAAATGTAAGATGAGCCAACATGGTTACCAAATACAGTTTTTGGTCTTCCTTTGTAGTTACAGCCTGTGGACCAGAAAGCTGACTCCTTTGATTTCACGGCTGACATTGTCCTCGACTGTCCAACTTGGGTAAATATACTCACATTGCGGAAGCTGGGTATCAGAAGGCTGTAAGTGCTTGTGCTTGCTGCAGAGAGCAGGGGTTCAGTATGTCTGGAACAAGTTTACTGAAAATGTTTATTCTTTGCTTACCTCTGAGTGAGCAGGTGCTCTCATATACCTTCTCTGGTGTCCCCTGGCTTTTTATTGTGCAACAAATACTGATTGACAACATGCTGATTTGTGTGTTTGCAGTTGTAGCAGAGGTTGTGTTTTATTGTATTTGTGAAGTACAGAGGCAGCTCAAGCAGCAAACAACAGAATATACTGCGTTAATTTTCCCATCAGAATCAATGAGGTTTGGGCACCACAGTGGCTCTGAAAACCCTTGTATCTATTATCTCTTGAATTAGTGACAGGTTGGTTTTCCTGGTCTGATCCACAACAGGGGTATTTCAGACTCTTTGGAAGCTGCTTCTCCAGTTAGAAAACAAGCTGCTGAACTTGAAGTACCGTTGCTAGGTATCAGCATGTGGAAATGACCACTGCAGTCATCGATAACTGACTCCCTTTCTTCAGCAGTTTCAATGAGGAGGCCAAGAAACTGACTGTTCAGGGAGCTGAGTTGTTCTCTCGGGTCTGGAGACAGTCATTCATGTCATACAGTCTGATTTTGTCCATATCGTGTCCTGTCAGAAAGGGAAGATCTGCTGAGTTATTAATCAGCATGCTTCAAAAGTCCTCAGATTCACTTAAATTGATCCTACTTAATTTTACCCAGTATTCCTTCCAAGCAGTTTAAATTAACTTAGCAACTTCTTTATTGCCAAATAATGTGGATTCTATACTACTTCTCCTTCATCCACTCCTATTCAAAGATGTTGCTTTTCAGGAGTAGGCATAGAAAAGTTTTATATCCTTTGCAAAGAATATATGGCCATTGTTTTCAGAAGTAGTAAGTGCACAATGCTTTGAAAAAGTGATTGACAAAAGTGCCAGTAGCTTTCCCTGGCACAGAGAAAACTCTGAGGTAAAGACTATGAAACAGTGCTACAAAGGAATAAATAGATTGTTTCCATGGGATTTCACCTTCTCTGTTACTAAACAGAGTAGTAACTTATTTCAGATTCTGACACCCACAAATTCCATTTATTGTCCTCACAGCTTTTTCACTACAGTTTTAAAATCCTACTTTGGGTAGTCGTGTCCATGAAAATATCAGCTGTGCCAGACTGTAAGCCCAGGAACATGATTTGTATTGAGTCAACTTAAAGTAGGAAAAAACCCTGCAAATAAAAGAACAGTAGGTCTTCTAATCAATTAAATATGCCTTCAAATTTTAGTGCTTTATAAGACCACCTCATGCAGATACTAGAATTGCTCTTAATTGAGATAAATGGGCATCTTGGTGCAGTTTTTTAGCCTATACAATGTGCATGTCTTCCTGAATGTATGCTGCATTAGTAGGGGACAAAAATAACCATGCAATTTATACAGCATCTCTTGGGGGGAAGAGTGATCCTTTCAGTAATCAATCTTTCATCTCTCCTCTGCTGACACAGGAAGATCTGCCCAAGTTTCTGTAGACTTTACATCAATGTCTTTTGAAAGGACTAAACATCTAATAAAGTCCAAGTAATTTGTGGAAGGTTAGAAGGGGAAAATGTTAAACTACAGTCAGGATCTGGCATATGCCATTTTTGCCATAAGGTGCTAAACACAAATCTTACTTGTGAATTTTAAGGAAGGAGCATGATTTCAAAATCCAGATCCTCATTTTGCAGCTTAGGCAATTATTTTCTTGGTTATATGATGTCATGATATCACTTGCTATGGTCTGTACCATGTGTTTACTGCCTAATTTCTCTTACTTTTGAATACTTCTTTCTCCAGAACAAACCATTCCTGGGAACATACAAGAATAGCAACTTCACATATCCACCTGTGGAGCCCACTAATGAGCCAATAGAGGTAATTTTTGTATCTTTTGCTGCATTTCATGTGAACTATGCAAAGCTGTATCTGGTGATGTGCTCACATCATCCTGAATTTATAGATGAGATAAACTATTATCAGTTTTGAGGAAGGGAAGTCTATATTGCATTGCACTTTCTCCTGTGTAAACAAATGTTAAACTCTTCCTAAAAGCTAAACAAAATGAATTGTATTAATTGATGCAGTTGTATCAAAACTGTGCTCAACAGTAAATCACCTGTAGAGGGCAGTCACCTTTACATACTGGGTATGTGACTAGATACAAAGGAGGTGATAGGAATCCATTTTCAAGGGGATTCACTTTCCACTGTGACTGGGCAACCACCACAAGGTAGATTAAACAACCTACAGAAACAAACTTTGTGTAGGACTTGAAGAAATGGATCAGTTATTTGCTCTTGTCAAATGGTTGTGGGCATGCGAACTAAGCGTGGCTGGAGATGGCAGTCAAAATGGGCTGGTCTAGTTTGACACACTCAGGGTCCTTCATGCCTAGCCAAATTTTAAAAATCTCTGTATGCCTTGAGGATTATGAAAAGCAACAGCTGTTATTGTTTTGGCAAGCTGTTGTTTGCAATATCAAAATGGGATGTTTATTTGTAGAGCTAGGGTTATACTTTCAATGGGTAATTCTTGCACTTCCACTGAATCTCAACAACCATAGCTTTTGAACTGATAAGGTAAAGGAAAGAAACAGTAGAGAGAGTAACGGAACAGTTTCTTCTCTGATCTAAAAATAAGCACAGCTGTCCTTTCTAGCCTCTACAACCAGCCTTTAAGTAGATGACTGATAGCAGGGCCTATTACACCATTTTTAACAAGAACAGATGAATTTATCTTTATGTTTTTTAACCATAACCATGGTTTCTGAAGAGCACTGGTTCATGTAGTTTTTTCTCTGAATGGTAGAATTCTGCAGTTGTAGAATAATTGGTGTTGGAAGAGACTTCAGGACATCGCTACTCCAACCTCCCACTCCAAGCAGGGCTGGCTCTTAGATCAGCATAAGCAACTGTCTTTGCTCCTACAGGAACTGTCCATTACACCAATTGCAATTTTTCCCTCACTGCCTTCTTAGCTAGAACTGTTGTTCACTACCAAAGAGTGTGGGTGGCACATTAGTCACCTGCTTCTGTTGGTGAACCAAGGTGTTCTGCCATGTGTGGTTGACTCAATTTCCTCATTTGGTGGAATAAACGTAAGAGCTATTATATCACCTACAAATGTATGGTAAAGTCCAATTGTTTAGAGGGTGAGAGCTCTCTTTACTGAAACTTTTGAAGCTTCAAAATTTTTTTAAATTTTATGTTCTGTGAAAGCAAGCCCTTTTTGAAACTTTCTGTGAAAACAATAGGTTTTTTGCAAGTTACATGGGAAACAATAATAATATCATATAATACTTTAATATAATATTATAAATTTTCAGAGGATTTTATTGTTGATTTTTGTTTTGTTTGTTTTTACATGCAATGTCTCTTGAGATAGACTTCAAACCTGGAGACCACATCTTTTACGTCATGGATAAAATCTCTAGGCTGTAGAGGAGAGGAAAAAAATTATCCTTCTTATGGAACTTTTTCATAAGCAATATTTCTAGATTAAATGTTTTGCTTTTGGAAAAATTTTATGCTTTGGCTAGAAAATTTCAACAAAAGTAATTAATGTTTCGACAGTATTCCAAGAGGAAAGGACTGTTGTGTCATATGGGCACCAAAATAGGATCTATGTCTTGGGTTTGCCCTTCCCTGTACAGTTAAATCATATATTAATTCCATATTATCTTCTAACCACAAGATGAACCAATTGGCATTTCAGAATTGGGGCAGTGACCTGTCGTGTCCTGAGCAAACTCCATCCAGTCGTGTCCCAACATCAGGTGAGAAAGAATTTGTAACTAAAATCTCAAATAGGAAAGATTTCACCTTTTGGTTTTAAAAACAGTAAGATCTTCCTAGATGGAAAGAAAACAATAAAAGCTGATATAATTAGCAGCAAAGGAAGAAAGTCTGTCTTGCCATACACAGCAAGTTCTGCAACACAGCAGGTGTGTTTTCAGTGGATAAATATGATCACATTTGTCATATACATATATAATATACAGCAACATGGCAAATTAAAATTGCCTAGGTAGGTTAGTGTTTCAGCAAGTTTGATCTGCCTGGTGAGCCTACTCTGATAAGCAGCACAGTAGGAGTGCTGTGTGTAGTTGGAAGGTTTTATGGGCAGATTGCTAATGGCAAGGATTGATCTATGACCCAAACCTGGAAACCAATTAAAAGAGATTGAATGTATGCATCTCTAAACATATATAATCTGTTTTCATTTTTTTCCTAGGCTGATTTATGGTCCATTTATTTCCTTGTTAGTTGAGTACACTGTTGCAAGCAAAGGCAAGAAGTTATGTTTTTTGCCTAGCTGACGCATAGAACTTGAGGCTCATTCTCCTTAAAAGTCTGTAAAAATACCACCAGGATGGAACCAAAGACTTGGATCTTTATTCAGTTAAACAATATTTTGTGTTAATTATCAATAATTATGCTTTTTTTTCCTCTACTGCTTTTTAGTACATAAGCTACAACCTGCTGACATCAAAGTCATAGGTGCACTGGGAGATTCCCTGACTGTGAGTACTGCTGTGTTCCTGCCTTTAGAATAAGAACAATAGTCGATTTCCACCTAGATGTGGTCGTGTCAGGCATCATCAGATAGAAAGCAAATTGCTCTGGCTTGGCAAAGCAAAACTCATCTACCTGTGTCCCCTTGCAAAGAAATAGCCTGAAGGGATACGAGTGACACTGATTTTGTAATCTTGTAATGAGTGATTCAGGCCAGAACAGAAATGGGATCAAGCAATTGGCATTTTTCATGCAATGAGAAATCCTGATGAAAATTCCTATGGAAATAATTGATTGCAGAACGAAGTGCTTCTCACTTAAGATAATTCTGATACTTCTGTATTTCAGGTGATTTTGTTTTCAGATGTTGTTTCCTGGTTTACACATCTTCCAGTTAAAACTCTGATGTATTTTGTGTACCAGTAAATGGAAACTGAAAAGAAAAGAGTAGGCACAGAAAAGAAAGGCCTCAGAAAAGAATAGCAGGCAATACTGCAGATCTGCACTGAAGTTTTCTGAGAAAAAGTTCCAGAATTACCCAGCACTACAGAATTGTTCTGGCATGGGATGAAAGCAAACATTCCTGTCAACAGTTCCCATGAATTTTAACTCCTGAGCTAAACTGGTGCTAATTCTAGCAGCTTCAGCTCCTGTAGAGTTCAGAGGGAGCTGAAGGGACCAAAGCCCTTAAATGATCAGGCTTATCTATAGGCAAGTGTGCATGTCTTCACCTCCTCGTTAGCTCTGAAACTAATTTTGCTTGACCTGATGTAATCCTGGCTTTTTCCCCCTGCTGAGCTTTGAGCTTTTCTTAGAAGACCTCAGTAACAATCCTGCAAGTCTCCTTCCTATCTCTTGCCATGACTCTTAAAATTACTTGCTTGATTTCCTCCCCCACATCTAGTGCTAGACTTGTACACTAGCACATATCTCTTATTTTAAAAATTTTCATTCTTTTAGTACATAAAATGTCTCAGAAACCCCTAGTCATAAGGGCCAGAATCTGGTGCTTGTGGTCGCCGTCTCAAGAGCTGAGCAAGACAGTTTCACTACTGCCATTACTCATGCAGTTCCTATTAGTTGCCATTGCCACAGCAAGTGTGACTGGGGTTTTTATTAAGGGATGTATTGCTGCTGGGGCAGAATTATGTGTATACCCTCACATGCACATGCACACACACACACAGAATACAGCCAGCAGCAGTGCACACTTTGTATTGCCTAACCACACCTGGCGCAGGGGGACTGCAGCAGCCTTGATCTGCCTTGGTCCACTAAGGCAATGATTTTCCTCCTGGTATTTCCCACTAAAGCCCTGAATGCAGTCAGTGTTTATGGCTGAACTGATACCAAGGCTTTTTGAAGAATACAAAATTAAGTGAAACCACTAAGAAACAAATCTGCAGGAACCCATTTTCATGATTGCTATCCTGAATGTGAGTCAGGGCGCTGACCTTCCTAGAGGTCTGTCCCAGTCCTGTGAGCTCCTCAAATTCATCAGAAATTTATTTGTTCTGATTGCTTTATTGATTTGTTTATTTTTAAAATCTACTAAAGTTCACACTGCATCTAGACTGTTCTCAGTCTAGATGCAGTTGGAGATTAATGAAACATTGAGCAGTTTAGTCATGTCACTGGCTAGAATGCATCTGACTTCTTAGCACCAATGCACAGTGAAAGTAATACATATGGCAACATGCTTATTTGTACTGGCAAAAAAAAAAATCCTGCCTACACCTCATCACGTCTGTGTGTTAGACTAGCAGACTGGGTCCAGCAGAGGAAAAGTGAATTTTACACCAAAGATTTGTTTTCTTGACAGATTGAAAAGCAGCTCCTCTGCTGATTTATTTACAGCTAAATCAGGCTAGGAATTTTTCATCATTAAACCAAGATGAGGCATTTTCCATCACAAAAATACAAACAAATACAAAGGTGTTGATACTAATCTAGGTCCATTGATGTTAATCTGAGTCTTATTGAGTTGCGTGTTAGAACAGTATTAGAGTCATAGTTCTAAAGCCTGATGCCCTTGACCTTACAGTCTGATGCCCTCTGGCTGGACTATATCTCCTCCAGTGTTCCATGGTTTCCTATCTAGATGAGCTGCTTTTGTACATGAGGAGAAGCCTGTGTGAATTTGAAGCACGGGAGATGCAGAGCTGCCCAGAGCCAGTGTGTGGTGGTGAATAATAACATGGACCATTTATGCTAAAACTGGGATATTGCAAAAGCTTGGGTGGATGCAGAGTAAAGTTACCAAAATGCTTCAGCACTTTCAAATCGCAATGTCTGTCTGACCTAAACTTGTAGCACTTTTTTTTCCCTAGTGTTTTTTAAATGATTCTTTCCATCCTTTCTAGACTGCAGTAGGAGCCAAAGCAACTGACCTTCAAACAGACTGGAGGGGACTTTCCTGGAGGTGAAAATGCTCAGTTTTCTTTTTCTCTACTTTTTTGCACAGACACAGTTAAAAGCGTGGGTCACCTGGCTGTGTAGTTACATACTTAAGTATGTAAATGCAGGGGTAGGATGCTGAAAGCCAGTATTGCTGGTTAAGGACTGGAGGAGTCAGGACTGGAAGAGAAAGGGAGTGATTCTTGTGAGGGGTTTTTGTGTTTGTTTTTGTTGCCTTTTTTTTTTTTTTTTTAGACCAGATCTGATCGCTACAGGCATGGTCCTATGTGTCTGACAGTACTGGCTTATTAATACAAGTGAATTCTTTCAGCTTCCTGCTAATCTCTCTGAAGTTAATTCAAAATATTGTTGTTGCTGTAATCATCTAATGCTAGAGAATCTGAGTGAGTGGGAATTGGCATGAACATGGTGTGCATATTCAATGAAGATGTTCCAAACAAAGACAATACATGTCAGAAAGGTGTGAATCGCAATATCCACGCTGGCGTGGAAGGAAAGTGCCTGCTTCATATCGGCACAAGTATACTTAATAAGGATGTGTGCATGTATATATTCTTTCCTTCATCCTTTATTCCTCCCTTGGATGTATCTGCAGGCATAGATGTCTTCAGGAGGGCTGACAGAAGTGGTATAAGAATGTATTGGGCTATGCACACAGACAAGTTTTGGATGGTAGAGGCAGAGGCTCTTTTCATAATCAACATTACAGAATCCCAGATAGGTGGTTAATGAGCATTTAATGCAATCTCTCTTCTATACGTAACTCAACACAAATGGAGTTTCATCAAAGTCATGTGGAGCAACTTTGGTGAGGAAATATTGCCTTTCTGTGATGGGCATCCCAGCATGTCTTTATGAAAAATCAGTTCTCCCAGTATGCTATATTCTCAGTCTGGAGGCATAGCTTCTATCTTAGCTGATGCCCTTCTTGATTTAATGTGAAATGTTCTTCAGTACTTTCCCTGAATTCTTGTGGTTTATCTCCTTAGTCCTGTTTGAGGTTAGGTTTGGTTTTTTTGTTGGGTTTTTCCTTTTCCTCTCCTTGGGCTGCTGCAGCAACATATGGTGGCAATAAGACAGATGGTTGCAGGATTAATCCTACTTGGTGATTTTGTTTTTTCCTTTTCTAGTATTGGAGGTGATGGGACCCTGGAGACCCAGGCTACTTTACCCAGTGAGTATCCTGGCAAATCAATTGAGAAAAGCAAAAGGTGAGTATTACTCTGAAAGCAGTCTAAGTGGATGCTAGGAAACATCTGGAACTGGTCACGCTTTCCTTGCAAACAGTGGGGGATGCCCATCTATTGTGGACATGAGCAGTTCATGTGAGTCACAGCTGAAACCCAGACTGACCTGATTAGCTGTAAAGTTGATTCAGCCCCTCCACATCACAGGACCTGCATGTGGTTGAATCATCCTATTGACAGAAATGACTAGGAGTAAATGTGCTGCAGGTGACAGAAGTACATGGAAGACCCCCTCCTCCCTATTTAATTTTGAGCTTTCCAGTGACTGACTGCAATGGTTGTGGGCAAATGATGGGTTATGTAACAATTAGCAGTCCACCTAGGGAGGGTTGTTGACGAGGTTGCGGTTCTTCCTGATGATTTCATATTGCTACATTGCACTGAAAAAAAAATCTAAAAATACTCTAAATTTCTTGTCCTAGTGTTCTGTGTAATCAGTCCCTGTAGTTGCCATAGAAACCATTAAGTGGTCAATGTGACCATAAATTGGAGGGGACTTGGTTCACAATGGTTCATCTATTTGTATGTGATCCATGCTGTAGAGCAATTTGCCAATACCTGACATTGTTGGTAATGTCTAATACACTTTGTTGTGTACCATGCACATTGCTATGTTTCAAGCAAAATAGAAGGCGCATTTCATTTATGCATTATAAATGAGACTCTATCAAGAGGTTTCAGACAGCACTACAGACACAGTTACAGTTTTCAGACAGCATGCTTCCCTACTGAGGAATTGGGTGCAATCTAGAAACGTGAATAAAATTCACTTCTCTGCAATAAATATTATCTTGATGGATAGCTGTAGGAGTGGGAGGTAGAGGGCCATGTTGGAGCATCTTCTCCTGGTACATGAAGGAAAGTAACCATGATTACTCTGGCATTCAAATTCAAGATTAGTGAGTTGCCTGGGACCTGTGCGTCTCCCGGGCTGCCAGACTCTGGCTCCTCAAGGGCCTGGAGAGAAGTAATTGCAGTGCTGGAGTTTGGACAGTAACTAGGGTCTCCAAGGCAGATGTGTCTATGGCTTCTGTAAGGTCACAGTGAAAGAGGGGAAACCCCGGGCCCATATTCTCACCACTCAATTGGCTTGGGCTTCTGCGGGAAGCAACGCTGCTAATTGTACTGTGGATGGTTAAACATTGTGTTTTCTCTTTTTAAGATATCTTGAAAAAATTCAATCCAAACCTCATCGGCTTCTCCACTGGCAGCTCTAAGGAAACAGCTGGATTCAATGTTGCGGAGAGAGGCACCACAGCGCGGTAAGCACAGTTGCAACTGAGAAAGGGCAAAGGGGTGAGAACTGATGGACTGGAAGATTATCTTTGAACTGCATGTCAAGGTTATACTTGAGTTAATACTGAAGATCTACTTGTACTGAGCATGTTACTGTAATCTGATGGTTTTAATTGTTTTGTAATTATTTTTTAAAGTCAGTATTTGACAAATTTATTTATATCTTTTTCTAAATTAGGGACAGAGAGGAACTGCCTTTCCTCATTTGACCTCTGCCCAGAATTTCCAAGCCAATGCCTTAGTTATGTTTCTTATTCTACCAGTACCTTTTTCTGCCCAGTTTTCAGTACACAGGTCCCTGACTCATTGTCAGACCATATCTGTAATGAGAAAAAATTCATAAGCATCTCTCATTTATTCCTTGTTTCCTGGGAAGTGTGCCTCAAACTAACAAATAGAAGCCAACTGCTACCCTAATGGCCTTAAAAACTATCCATGTTTGCAGTGCAAAGAAAAAGAACAGAATGAGCAGCTGGGAATTAATTCCTTTCTCCTCCTGAAGAAAAACTTGACTAGTCTGATAAGAACCAAAATGTGTAAGAATTTGGATTGCATATGCTGTACCTGCTCTATGGATACCCATGAAATTTGCTTCTAAGACTTTCTATGGCACCTTTAACAATCCTTAAATTTACTGCAAGAGAGTTTCAGGATAGCTAGCAAAGCCTGTGTATCTACTCAATACTTCAGGGGAGCCCTGAGCAAAGACTCTGGGTGATCAGTATGGTTGTGGGAGTGCAAATAATGTAACTGCATTTGTGTAGGTGCTGGAGAGAGCCAGGGCTTATTATCTCAAACACAGTCTCATGCTAGTATATCAGGGGTTCGAGTTTCCAGCTGGTGTCTCAGCATGGTTTGTGCTTTACTCCGTGGATGTTGCATCCGGCCCAGAGCTGGACTGGAACCCTCCAGCCTGGCAGTTCCACAGTGTAAGTTCCAGCCATAAGCCATAGGAATTCAAGACCAGATTGAGATGGCTGGTTAGGTGCCCAGCTTCTGTGTAAGCACCAAACTCCCCCACTAGATTTCGAAGGGAGTTATGCAACTAAATGTCTCTGCGCATCTGAGTATTAGTGGTTTTCTCCAAACAAAATGCACTTAAGCCAACTCTGAGATGGGAAGAATTCATCCCAGTTGCCTGCCGCTTGGTAGCCATACTAGCTGAAGCCCTTTCAGATCAGATTATTCCCTTGTGCCACTGCTGCTGATCTTGGTCCTTCTATGTTTGCTCGTCCTTTCAAGGCATCACTTTCCTTGCACTAATTTCTGCTGATCCTAAGATTCCCTGAAATGAGGAGTGGGAGATCAAGAAGATCATGTGCTTTCAGAGCATGCATCTAAATTGCTTTTGTCCTCTCTCTGCAGCAATATGTCAGCCCAGGCACGTGAATTGGTGGAGCTAATGAGAAGCAGTTCAGTAAGTGGAACTCAGACCACCTCTCAGTGTTCCCACGATCTCTGGCAGATTGCTTTAATTGATGGGATGCTTGAGTAGTGAAGAGTGCTTTTATGATGGAAGAAGAGTCAGCATCCTTGTCTCTGGTGTGCTTTCCAAGATGAATGAATGTGCCAGGGATTAGCCTGTAGGAGATGGTCATTTACTTTTACAAATCCATGCAGGTAAGGTGCAAACACACAAGGCAGAGACTAATGTAGGGTGCAGTGTGGCCAGGAGTGGTAAGGATGGTAGTGAGGAAGAGAAGAGGTCTGAAAGGTCTAGGGAGATCACAGGACTATTTAGTTGAACAGCAGCATTCAAAGTGGAGGTCATAAAGGCTGAGTGTAAAATTGCTGAAGCAGGCACCTGGTGACCAACATGAATCACACTATTCACTCATGGGTCTGGGAAGGGGGACAACTGAAGGCTTCCCAGGAGATTAGGCCCTCTGAAACTCTGGTTCTGGACAGACAAGTTATTAATCAGCGTCCAGAAACCTCAGGGTTGGCTGAATCTCTGTTATGCCACAAGCTTTTAGGGAATTAATAGGGGATCTATCATTGTAGACCAGCCTGCTGTGCCAGCTCCACCGAGGGCTACAAAGGGCACCAAAAGGGTGACTTGCTTTTAATTCAGTGGCTGCTGCTGCAGTTTGGGGTGTGGAGAGGAAATCTGGGAGAAAACCAAGACTGCTCTGCTCCAAGTGTTAGCTGAATTTGAGTGGATAACTGGGTGTGAGCTCTTGGTTCAGGGAGAGCACCCTGTAAGGGGATGGGAGTGCCTGGTGCTCCTTGGCTCAGGGTGAATGTGAAAGACTGGTACTGAATAAGCAGGATTTGTCAAAGCATGTGTCTCTCTGTGCCAGCACTTTTGATGGATGCTGCATGCTAGTCCCACTGTCAGTTTCCCTGCATTACCGATTGTTTGGCAGAGTGAAGGGAGCTGGCATGTCTCTTCAATAAAATAGAACACAGCTCTAGAGCTTTGTTTTATTCACTGCTTTTTATGCATCTTTAAAAAAGGGGAGGGGGGAAGTCCCTGCCACACTTAGTCTCTTCATGAAAGGCTTTCCAAGCTAAGGAGGAGAATTCAGACCTGTGGGCGATTCCCAGGCCCTTCCTCTATTTGTGAGATCCTTTCACAGATGTTTGTTATGTAAATGCACTACACTAAAAATAGTTGCCTTTGATTCCTTTCTTTGTACTGAACAAAATGTTACAAAATGTTTTGATGAGATCCAGCTCTCAGCAGCGCCTATTGTTAGCTTGCAGTGACGTGGATGCTGCAGCTGCCCTTATATGAGCTCGGTGAAGTCACCAGCCTCCTGGACTCTTCTATTTTAATCCAGCTGTCTGTTCCCTGGGGCACCCCTTACCCCTCCTGGCTGTGGGGTAATACTTGCCCAGCTGGCAGGGATCCCCAGCAGCTCCAGTTCCACAGCTCCATGAGTCACTCCAGCATCCACTCCCACATCTCTTCGTCCCCACGCTGCCTGCAGTGTTCAGCCATGGCTGGCAAATCTGCCCTGTCCATCCCTGTCCTGAAGCTAATATTCATGTAGGCATGCTTGCTGCCACAGACGCATTTCTGTGCTTGGCTACCCTGACAGATCTTGTCTGCTGAAGGGGATTTCCTTATGAAAGCTGAAGTAAATTGCAGCTAGACTAGCAAACACTTCACATTTTCCCCCTGGACAGATGCTTTTCTTCTGCCATCTTAAATCAGCATGCCTCCTTTCTCTGTTCTGCCATGCCGTGTCTGTACCCCTTCAGCCCCATTTGTGAATGTTACCTCTGCATGCCTAAGCAATGGATGCTGCAATCTGTTTATTTTGTGTGCCACTAGAAAATTAATTTCAAGGAAGATTGGAAGCTGATCACTGTCCTCGTTGGAGGCAACGACCTGTGCCAGTACTGCTTGGACAAGGTTTGTATTGCTGAATTAGGCATGCTCATCCAGGCACTTGGCAAGTAAACAGCCCTGGAAATATAACCTTTCTCTCTCTTAGTGAGCCAAAGCTCCTCTTTGTTTAAAAAGCACTTAAAAGTCCTGTTCCTTTCATCTGTATTGTATCAGAAACAGGTGCACAGCTTTTAATACTGGGGCACTGCAGCTCTGGAGTAATGCATTATTTAAGAACCAGCAACCTGCCCCATATTGAACGAAACACCAAGGATAAACTGAAGAGCTCTCCCAGCTTAACTGGACAAAGCAATCAAGACAGCATGGTGTCTTAGGCTTGTTGTTGTAGGGGCACAAGTGAAGTTTTATTCTGGAAAGCGTCTCCTTGCAATAATTACTGAAGATGCCCAATTCTTGCTTCGGAATGACAACAAAAGACATAAAATCAGTTTACAGTGAAAAAGATATCTTTTGCCTAGCCATGACTGGATATCCCCTCTGAAAAGGTTCCTGTGGCACAGACTGGGGGTCTGGTCCCCAGCTCATTGAAATGACCAGGGACTGTTCTCTCAGTTTTGCTGCTGCCTGGAGCCTTTTCCCCCGCAGCTACACCTCTATAACTACAGTCACAAAGTCATTTTGCCTGTGGGTTTTGTGGGGCCTGACTGCCTCCATATCGATTTCTCCAGATTGGCAGTTAAAAAATAAAAAAATTAAAAAAAATGTATTGCACTGTTCATAAGGCAACTTAGTCTGGTCTGGGTTCCATAAAGACAACATGAAATCCTAAGTTGTGATTTATGTAGTCATTCATCAGGCAAAGACTCTGCCAGGAACTATCATATATTTCAGGATTTTCTACAGAGATTAAGGGAATATATTTATATTAGTGACATAGATACACAAGCACAATATAACCTGTGTGTAAGTGGTAATAAACCTCTTGATCTGAAAATATATCTGCCAAGAAAGGCAAAAAGGAGCATCGAGTTGGTATATCTTTTCATGAGCCACCTTGCATTTAGGGAGCCTGGGCTCCTTTGCTCAGGTGAAACAGTTAAACTTCTTGGGTCCTGAAAGAAGTCTGATCCAATTTTTAATTATTTTTTTTTTCTTCAATTGTGCAGGAAACCTATTCAGTGCAAAACTATGTAAAGCACCTTCAGGACACTCTGGATATTTTCTATGAGGAGGTAAGTTTTAAGATACCCTAGCAAGCTATGTTCCTGGCAAGCACACTGATGTTTTTCTCACTTCTGACAGACTGTCAGTGATTATGTTTCATACAAGGTCATCTTCCAAATAGCTGGAGTCAGACTACTCCTCAGCACTGCTTTTCAACAACTGTATCAGTTAATGACCTGAGAAAGTGGGCTGTAGTTTCAGGAAAGCTGCGTTTCACAGCATTTTTGCTGTGGACCAAACACAGCACAACCCTATTGCCAGCTTTGATGGCTAAAAAGTTTCATTTACCCTAGAGAAAATGGAAATGCCCCAGGGAGTGAAGCAGCATTTCAGCTAGCTTGTACTAGCTGCCAGGAATTTTTTGGCTGACATCCACTCTGTCTCCCTCCCCCTCCCTTTATACATAATCCTTGCACATGCCATTGGTTGCAGTCCGTGCAGTTTGCACTGACTCCCTGACCTATGGATGGCACTTCTTTCTCACTTTGTAGTGGTATCATGTTCTGTGATTTAGTATGTCTGGTTATTATAATCCCTGCAGCTCCCAAGAGTCTTTGTCAACATGGTGGAGATACTAGAGATTTCTGGACTGCGTCAGATTGCAGCAAGCTCTTCGAGATGCGCTTTGACTGCAAAGTAAGTGAGCAAAACAGGTCTTTGCCTTTTAAGTGCTACTTTTTTGGATCAATCTAAGTTGTTTCTACAGGAGGACACCCACACTGGGCTTTCCAAGCTCCTTTCATTGCTGCCTTTACTTGATGCACACTAGTTTCCATCAACTTTCTACTAAAAGGCATGCACCTGTAAATAGCAGAGTTATCACTTTCCTTCTCAGCTCTAAGGCAGCATGTCACAGCACAAGTCACCATATAATTGCTGTACTACTGAACTTCAAAGCCTTTTTTGCCCAGTCATTCACTGCTCAGCAGCACAGGCTGACATTCCTGATGCCTTGTATCCAGTGCTGCATTACCTATGGTGCAGGCTGGGCTGCCCACAGAGGAGTGCACAGCCAGGAACTGCTTTTCACAGCTAATGGAGGAGACAAAGTCCTAACTCAAAGAAGACTGAGGGACTTGTTTTAGAAAGCAGCAGTGCCTTTACAGGAGTCAGCAGGGACATGAAAAGGCTCTTTAGTCTAATGGAGAAAGGTATAACAAAGACCAGTTGTTGGAAGCTGATGCCAAAGGAATTCAAATGAAGTTAGGCACAGTTTTTTAATAATAGAAACAATTAACTACTGGAACACATTAGAAGGGAAAATAGCGAATTGACTGAATTGCTTGATGTCTTCATATTCATTCCAGGCACATTCTTAGAGGATGCATTTCAGTGAAGCACAAGTTATTACCTCTTGATATGGAGGTAACAGAATGAAACACAGTGGTCTGAGGAGTCAGACTACATGAACAATTTGTCTTTTCTATCTTTAAACCCCCAGAGTTTCAGATTTCTGAAACTCTGCTGTAAGCCTATATGTAGGGTTTATTTAATTCTAACACATGTGATTTCCTGCTAATGTGTGACATACTAAATATTTTTGTGTCTGACTCAAAGTTGTGGATCCTGCAGATCTTATGAACTGTGACAGGTGTTCACTTTGAAAACTGAGTCAATAGGGATTTTTTTTTCTGAAGTATCTGTCTATCTCTAAGCCAACGAGGTGGCTTTCTCTCTGCATGGGAGCTATGAGCACCTATCCTGAGCTTCTTGAAGCAGACACACATTGCTGAATAATTGCATAGGCTCTTTCAGGTTGGCTTTTAATTCTAGTATTTCTTTTGATGAAGGAATGTTTGCCCATGTTTCTTAAACCCTGAGGAAAACTCTTCTGAACTACAAGAAATTAACAGAGTTAACAGAGATTTTCAGGTAATACATTGATTCTGTAACTGGTCATCTTCACTTCTATCTCTTTTTATATCACTTCCCTTCCCCTCATTCATACCCTCAGCAGGACAGAGAGGGATGACTAGGAAACAGCTTGGCTACAGTCTAATTAAATAAACCCTTACCCAGCTAACTGGTTAGCAGCAGTGCCAGTCTGTCCACACTGCCTTATGATTTTACCTCAGTTCTGAACTGGACGCAGACTGAGACCAGTTCTGTTTCCTGTTGCTGTTTCAACAGCTGAAAAGGAGTTGCTAGTGCTGGCTGTTTTGTTGATTTGTGTGTTTGTTGTTTTGTTGTGTTTGTCCATTATGAATTCAATTAATAGCTCACATGAATTAACATGTCACTGCAATGGTGACAAATTACCTCACATCAGCTGTTTTGTGGTAACTCTTAGCAGAGAAAATGAACTAAACCAACCTGATATTCCTTTATTTTGCTATGGGCTGAGAGTGTGCACACAGATAGTTGACCATGGGTCAGCTTGCTATATGACAGTAACTTTTTATAGCCTCGGGCATAAGATTCCCTCAAATTTAGCAAAGGCTATAAATAGATATTGGAGCGGAAGGTTTTTCCATCATTATTCTTATAAATACAGGAACCGTTGTATCAGTTCACCTTATGTTCTTCAGTCCTTCATTCTGGCTCTGGCAGTGGAAGATGTCTTTTGAATCTGACAATGCTCAAAAAATCCATCTTGGAAAATATTTGTATAAACCTATCCAAGGGGTATTTACCTAAGGAAGTGTTAGGAAGGCCTTAACTAAGGCCTTAACTAAAGAAGTGGGGTTAGGAATGTTTTGAGATATGACCACGAGCATTAGAATTTATACCCATAAGCTGTCAAGTAACAATGATATCTTATTATCTCTCTGAATGTCCATTGCCATAGTTTTCAAAAGTGGCAGGTGACTTTTTTCAATGCTTATGTTTTATTTTACTTCAAGTGCACCTTTCTGAAAATTCAAGCATACTTCAGTCTCTAGTTGGCCTTCTGGACTCATTTGTCACTTCTGAAAATTTTTGCCTTATGCCTTTTTTTTAATTCTCTGTAAATTTTAATCTTGTTGCAATTGTGCAGCACTGTTTTCTATAAGTAAAGTATGAACTACCTTTTTTTTTTTTTTTTTTTTTTCTCCATTAAGCAGCCTTACCTTTCAAATGATCTTACCTTCTGTGCATTTTCCTCATGAAAATCTCTTTTGTGAACCAACTTATTTTCTTGGCCACTCTCTGGACTGATTTAAACTATTCAGCTGAATTTATACTAAATATTTATACCTTCCTACATTGAAAGAAGTGTAATGTGTATGTTTTTGGTAGCTGACAAATGTTAGATGAACCTTGTAGTAACTTTTCCAGCCATGCAACTCCATATAGGCTGAAGCCTTACAGCTGACCAACAGCGGTCGGTACGAGGAGCGGGAGGACTTTGCAGTTGTCATGCAGCCATTCTTCCGAAACACCTTGTTGCCTCTGGATAGTGTGAGTCCTGCTTCCACTGTTTTTCTTTCCCATTACACAAGGACCAGTATCTTGATTTCCCTAAGTCAGTAAGATACATGCCACAGGGACTGTGTTTGCTTCTCTTTGCACAGTCTAACAGCACAGGGTGGAACTTGTGATAAGAGTGACAGAGGAGAAGACAGTAAAGACAGTGCTGTCTGTGAATCAAAATTGCTTTAGGAAACATTTGTAGTGTGCACACATTAAACCGAAGCACCTTCTGGCTTCCTCTAAACTGCATGTTGCTTCCCCTGTTGGGGGCTGTCATTCACCACAATTTTCTTCTGAATTTAGGTTATGGAATATGTTGAGGTTTCCTTCACAGGGAGACCAGCAGTTGCATGTCTGGTTCATCCTAGCCTGGAAACAGGAAGCAGCCTTTGAAGACAAACACTGATGCTCCTTCTTTTCTCCAGCTTTAGCATTATGTATGCTGTGTAGTTAGGAATACAAATATTTAGCATGAATCCTGGTCAAAACCACCCAGTTTTGCACAATACTGATCCTTTTATCGTATCATCCCCATTTTGTTCTGGCAGCCTTCAAGTCCAAAGAATGGTCACCATACAGGTAGTGATGAGGTAAATTCTCCGTCAGACAAACATTTGCCACAGCTGGAGAAGCCCATGATTTTTAATGTTGCCTGAAATTCAGCACAAATTTCAACAACTGAAGGGTTATGATTTTGAGTTATGGAAGTTTAACAAGCAAGAGTAAGCAGTTTTCTATCAGTTCTGTACAAGGTAGAGTGTGGGCCAATGGCAGTGTCCATGTAAGAGCTGTGACTGTTGGTTTAATGAGTTTAG